CTTCCCCTCAATTTTGATACGATTCTAAAACTGCTCTAAAAAAATAAAATCTTAAAAAACACGCACACCCAAAAACACCCCTCTGTCCACTGTGATGTCTGCCTTCTTGAAAAATCCAATAGACGTTTCAACCACGTTCTGATGCTCTCTGCTACATCAGATATTGCTGACCACTCTGATCTCTCTCTGGTTCTGCTTTGGCCTCTCTGACTTACCTTTCTGAGGCTCCTTGAGTGCTCACTTCTTAGGTACGGAGCCTCAGGGTTCAGCCCTTGGCCCCTGCTCTTCTCTCCTAGGACAGTTTTATCCTCTCATATTTCATCCTCTTCTGGATCCTCAAGCTGTGAAGTCCAACTGCCTGCTCGACGTCTCCACCTGAATGATCCACTGTTCCCTCAAAATTCCTTATAATAGACTTAGCTCGATGGCCTCCAGTGAACACCGCCTCCCACTACTTACACCTTTGTATTGCCTTTCCTCGAGTCCTATTTGGCCTTGCTTAACTGATAGAATGTGGAAGCATTACTGTGTCAGTTGCAAGCCTAAGATCTAAGAACGGCCGGAAGCTTCTGCTTTCATGTTCTTGCCACCAGGTAAGAACCGTGGGGGGGCCTACTGGAGAGACCACCTGGAGAGAGAGAAACACAGCTGTGCTAGCATCCCGGCTAAGCCCAGCTGGTTAAAGTCACACAAGTGACTATTAGCAAGACCAGCAGATGGACTGTCCAGCTGAGCCCAGCTCAGCTTGCAGGATCGTAGGAAATAACAAAATAGTTGTTAAGTCATTACATTTGGAGGTTGTTTGTTACATAGCAGTAAATTAGCAAAACACTCCCCATTTCTAAAGCCAAAGTTATTATCTTCCTCTTCACACCTGTTTGTCTTCCAGGGGTTACGGTTTCAGTTAATGGTAGGTACCATTATCTACCTAGGTTTTCAAGCCAGAAAAACTGAGACGGAATCCTATAATCCTCCCTCCCCACTATTCCTGTCCAACCAGCCACTATGTCCTGCAGGCTTGACCTTCTAAATATTTCTTGAATCTGGCCCTCTTCTATTGCTCCATAACTTTGTGCTGCAGTTCAGGTTCTGTTCTTAACTTCTCAAGACTTTTTTTTTTTTTTTTTTTAACGTCTACAGCACTTGGTCTTCCTAGGTGGTCTCCCATCCAAGTACTAACCAGGCCCGACCCTGCTTAGCTTCCCCGATCAGACAGGATTCGGCATGTTCACGGTAGCATGGCCGTAGACATCTCTCGACCTTTTTGTCTTCATACCTGCAGCCCAGTTCTTAGATCCATCTGCTAAACTGCTTCCAAAGTGATCCTTGTAGAATGCATATCCAACAAAGGCAGTTCTCTGCATAACAGGCTTCTGAGTTCCCCGTAGCCAACAGAATAAAGCCCGAACTCAGCTATAAAAGGCTCTTTAAAAATGGCCTCCATCTGCGTTTGCAATCCTACTGGTAACTACTTTTGACTTGCTATATCAATCAAGGTTCAGACAGGAGACAGAAACTATACCAGTTATTTAATGGAGATAATTTAGTATAACGAGTTGTTAGCTAGGTATAAACTGGTTGACTAGGTAACTGAAAGGGTAAAGAGAGAACTTTAAGGCATCGCAGAGGTAGCAACCGCAGAAAGCAGCTCTCACCACTCAGTCTACGAGAACAAAGGGAAGGAGTTGGTGTAATTTAAACTTAGAAATGAGGGGGGGAGGGGTCCCATCTTGCAGAAAGCCGAACCTAAGGAGAAGGCTCCGCTCAGCTGGTGCTAGTGTCTCTGAGCTTATGGGGCGACCCCGTGCAGTTTGGAGTGATGAGACTAGTCCTGAAAACCCGCAAACTGGATACTGCAGCTGCTCCAGGAAGGAAATGCAGCTGCCAGGGTGAAGTGTTGCTGGGATGATGCTCACAGCAAAGTTTTTCCTCCTCCAGCTCTGCAGTCTCCCTCCAGCACTCCCTGGTGCAGAGCCTACCACTGAGACAGCTGGCAAAGCAGAAATGTACTTTTGCAGGCATCACGAAGCAGAGGACAGAAGCTTAGGTTTGGAGCTGAGAAAGTCTTAACAACTGATGCATTTGCCTTGTTACTATCCCTTCTCTTTGCTTTGCCCCCACCTGTTTCAGAACATTGCAAATGTTATTTTTTCCAGAAATGCAGTTTCCTCTCCTCTTTGTCCAGTTAACATCTACTTTTCAACTCTCAGCTGAGTTATCACTCCCTCAAGAAAGCCTTCTTTGACTTCCCTGAAGTAAAACTCTTTTGTAATGGGCCGTTAGCTTCTTTGTAGCATCGTCACAGTTACATTTTGTATAATTTTTTGATTAACATCCACTGGACTGTGAGGAGGGCATTAATCTCAACCACAGGGACCATGCCCTTCCTCCCCCTGGATTTGTTTTTCTTGAACTTGTGCCCCTAACCTCTAAAACAGCAGCTGGCACAAAGTAAGGGCTCAATTAATATTTGTTGAATGGAGTGAGAATTGTAGTTTCAATGGCCAAGGAGAAGTCAATACCATGCCTGAATCAGGAATCATCTGAATCATCTGCTTCCAGGAGCATCTCTGTTCTGTGTGCACTCAATAAGTCTTCCTCCTGCCTCTGACCCTCAGTCTCTCAGTTCCCATCCCGACACAATGCTACTTGTGTTGTCATTCCTAGATGCTCTGTGTGTACATGCAAGCAAAATATATTATTATATACTCTCATAGAGAGATGCTTCATTTTTTTGAACGACTATTTCACTGTAGGAAAGTACCATAGCTTAACCAATTCTGTCTTCAAAGATATCTAGGTTTTTCCCATCTTTTGCTTCTATAAACAGTGCTGCAATGAATAACCTTGGGCATAACATTTGTGTGCATATGTGGTTATATTATCAATATCCACTGAAACATCATCTTTTACTTTGGTTCAAAGTAAAGAGCTTATGCAGAGATGGCAGCAAGGATCTGGCGTGGATGCTCAGAAACGTGCCTCAAAGGGCAGAAATTTCTATCAGACCTCGACTCTCAGAATCTAGGGTAAAACTATAGTGTGGGGGCCACTTCGAAACTGAAATTTTCCATCCAAGCTCCAAAGACACTGATGCATTAACTAGCGTCTTAAGATTTCTTTGCTGCTTCCTTCCACGTTTTTTCCTCCTTTCGTAACATGATAGTTTGTAATCGTTTGCTGTCACCTAGACCAGGGGTCCCTAAACCCCAGGCCATGGACCAGTACTGTCCCTGGCCTGTTAAGAACTGGGCAGCACAGCAGGAGGTGAGGGGTGGCTGAGCCAGGGAAGCTTCATCTGTATTTGCAGCCACTCCCCAGGCCAGCATCACCGCCTCAGCTCCACCTCAGATCATCAGGCATGAGATTCTCATAGGAGCACCGGTGCCTGGTGCCCAAAAGGTTGGAGACTGCTGATCTAGACCATAAACTAGTCTAGTGGATACCAGTGAACAAGATAGATGAGGGCTTTGCTCTTATGGAACTATTTTTATTGTTTTATTATTTTTACCTTGATAGGTGTGTGTGTGTGTGTGTGTGTGTAAGGATTAAGTGAAATAATGGAATTAGCAAAGTGATTAGTCGGCAACTTAATGTCTGTATACGCATTTATACTACATGTATATAAACTCTAAGTTGGAAGATTCATAATTATTCCTGCCGCGACTACTTTTTTCCTCTCCTCTACGCACACCCTCTCCATACGAAGAGCTGACACCTTAACCTCCGAGCGACATGGTTTGCTTTGAGCACAAGGCGAATGCGATGCACTGCCAGTAGGGGGCAAGAATCAACCAGGCGTGCCTATTACCTAAGCAACAGAGTCAAACAGCATTCTCACAATGACTTTACAAAAGGGTTACCAAGAAGTTAATTTGTTCATTCTGTGTTAGGTCATATAATAATAATAAAATAATAAAACAATAAAAATAATAATAGCAGCAACAACAATAAATTATTACAAAGAAGTGAGAGATGGTAGCAACAGACCTATTTTGCAGCAATCATTGAGAGCAATAGTTGGTTTAGGTTATTGGGCGTGAGTGCGGAAAAAAAACTAGATCTGACTGTGCTCACACTCCCTAGGATAGGATAATGGCAGTGGACCTGCCGAGTTACTTGCGGTTTCATATTGAAAAAAGCGCTTTGAGCGAGCCTACCAAGCAATACATATGCGAATATTGTTTTCTATGATTGAGTAGGTAATGAAAAGCTTTTCAAAGTGACAGAGATGCCACTAGGTAAACTTCCTGGGCCGAAAACACACACCCAAAGGATTTTGAAAACAGCTTTGGGCCCCTCCTAGCCCGACTTTGAAAGCAAGTGTGGGACGCATGCGCCCGGGCCACCCGCTGACCTGCTCGTGGCACCAAGAGCTGAGACCTTCTTCCCGACAGCCAACAGGGTAAGGGGCGGGCGGGGGGGGTG